GCGCTGGTGCGTGAAATTTTTAACTGTTTTCCAATGTTTGAACTATTTTTGCATAGCCTAAAGTACAAAGCAGCGAAAATCATTAATAAGCAATCGTTCGATGAGCAGAATGCACAAAATGCATGATCGCACTGGCTAGTCTGGTGCGCGTTGCTATTTATTTGGCTTCCGAACTACTAAATTCCACATCAAAACTTTTGCGTGTCCCTATGTGGGACACAAATGTATTAGGAAAATGAATTTGAAAGTTTTTGGTAGTACGTTAACAGGCAAGATTCGTTTAAAATGTTAATTCTAGCTCTCCTGATTCCCGAGTCATTAAATTTAACGGAAAAATTTTCACGCTTCCGCACATAAAAGTCGCGCAAATCAGAAAGAATTTAAAATATTTGGGTTGCACGTGACGAGGGGAGATCCGTTCAAATTCTGGCTTTCTAGCTTTTCTCATTTCCGAGTTAGCGAATTTTTAGCCAAAACTTTCACTTCTTCCCGCATGAAAGTTAATATTATCTTCGTGAGATTTTACTTAATCACACTGGCAAAATTTCAGCGTCAAAGCTTGTCTGGCCACGAGTAGAAATACCTGGACAGACGGACACGGACAAACACCCACACACAACACACACACACACACACATAGAGAAATGACACAATACATGTTTTCGCTCTAGCGCTTCACCGCAAAACTATAAGTAGAAGAAGCTAACTTACGTCATCGCGTTTTCGCACTTTCACTAACTGCTTCTTTTTCACAGCGCCACTGCTGCTACCATTACACGATGATCCCATCTATTTCACTAATTTTACCAGAATATTCAACTGGCCGTTATGACGAGCTGCAAAAAAACCCCGAAGCATTATAAATGGTGAGCCAATCGCACCTGTTATGTATCATTTTAGCAATGAACTCTCCCTCCCCTTCGTCTCATCCAAGTCACTCCCAAACATTTCCCAAATTAATTCTTCTACAAAAATCACAGATTTTTTTAAAATGCATTTCTGCTACAACAGTTGCACAAAAC